AGAAAAACACAAAAGAAAAAAAAAAAAAAAAAAAAAAAAAATCCACTAACGTTTATGTATGAGGGGCATGATACAATATTTCATATGCTTTCCTAATTAATTCATGTAACTTGGAAATTATCTGTTTTTAACTAGTAGATATGCAATGTTGCTGATCATCAATAGACAAATTATCAATCAAGGCCAATAAATCAATTTATTCACTTTGTAGAATATGCACATTTTAGCCTCCGAACCAGGAAGCTGATCCTATTTTTTTCATTGGTATTAGAAAATCATGAGTGCGTGCATGCTCCTCAACTAGGCTGAGTATAGTGATGACTTGGGGTCGTTTAGTAGGACATAGGCCATTACACACTGGTGGCATGCTGCCCTGTCATTGGGAACCATCTTCTGAAATACCTTCCCAGCTAGAGAATCTTGCTTCCCCATTCTGAACCTATACATGTGTCCCACATCTGAAAATGCTATGACTTTGCATTTATTGCAAATCCTAGAAACTCTCATTCTTCATCTCCTTTTGTCCAATACTTAAAATGCTATAAGGCCAACATATTTTGTCAACTGGGGCTTTGGTCTAACACCCTGAATTTTTTGGCAGGAAAAATATGTATACATTACTTTTTAGGTTTGTCCAGGTTGTGCTAAATGAATAGCTTCTGAATTCATTTTAGTAACTCTGTAAGTTACTAAATTTCCCTGTACCCTGTGGGGTATTATCAGGTGTATTTAGAATAACAGTACTAATTTCTGCTGTATAATTCTTTGCAAGGTACAAAAGCACTTTATATCTCTCTTCTTATTTTCCTTATCAAAACCCAGTGGAGCAGTCAGTATAGCTCCATGCTGTTAATGATAAAACAAAATTCCCGAGGTCAGCTTAAGTAGCAGAAGTGAGAGGTCTGATTCGAAAATGATTCTTTTCACCACACATTGATGTTTGTTCAAAAATAATAGGAAACAAGAAATAAGGAAGTCTAGATTATCTTTTTAAGAACAAAGGATGCCGGCCAGCCGCCAAAAAACAAAACAAAACAAAAACAAAAAAAAGAACAAAGAAAAAAACAAACGAGTAACCCATGACACCATTGTCTCCATTGTGGCCTAATTGGGAGTAGAACACTCCAAATGGTTCAGGCAGGTAAAAGGTAAGCAGGAAAACAGGCAGTGAACTGTTTGTATGTGACCAAACAGGACACTGGCCCAGTTACATTACTTGTAATCAACAAGTATACCAAATAAAATAGGGTTGACAGCTTGGAAACCCACTGACTTAGTTAACACTATTTTATTTTATTTATTTACTTATTTTTTGGTGGGTGGCCCGTACAGGCGTCTGAACATGTAACCTCTGTATTATCAGCACCAGGTTCTAACCAACTGAGCCAACTGGCCAGCCCTAGTTAACACTATTTTAGATGTTGGTAAGTAGATTAATTGGAGTCTCAGAATATGTTTGATTTACTAATCAATATAACTATTGTGGGGATTTCCCCGCTTATGTATTTGTAGAGGCCAGAAGTCTACTTTGTCTTATGCTGAACAGGCAAACTGATGTGTTTCCTAAACTCATTCTGTTTGGCATTATTTGCAGGATATTTGGATGTTTCGAGCTCGACTTGTGAAAGGAGAAAGAATCAGCCTTTGAAATATCCCTTCACTATATCTCTTATACAGGAAACCAAATGAAACAAGGTGTCTAAAGAAAATGTTTTCTGAATGGGATGATGTAATCGTTTCTACACTTGTTAACAAAATCAAAAAATGTGTCAGGTACTTAACTGCATGCAGTTAATTTTGCAATGCAGTGACGTTGCTGTAAGCAAAGTAAAAACAGCAAAAGTGAAATATTACTATTTTAAGGAAAACTAATTTAGGGTTATAATTAATAAAGGTGATTGGCGTATGATTTAAGTGTGTTAAATCAGCTTCTTTCATCCAATAAGCTTTTTACCCAAACAGAAATGAATGCTTTGAAACTCAGGATATGTTGCTTTTGCATCTCTCTCCTGGTAAACCCACCGCCTACCAAATTCATGTCATGAAAGATTGCTTTTCAAATCTAGAACAATGCATAAAACATTCACAGAATAAGGGTGGACACTTATGTTCTGACAAAGGCTTCCTTCCATGACTTCTCCAACCCAACCAGCCTTCTTAAAAAAAAATGGATATTTCCAATATTTTCCTCTATTCCTTAAGAATGAAGACAATGGTACCTTGATCTGATGTTTCTTGTTGGGTAAGGCAGTTGAGAACCTTCAGCATTTATGAACAAAACCTAACTTGTTTCAGGGTACAGGGAAATTTTTAGATACTTTTGCCTGGATGTGGAGTGAGCATGGGCTGGGGGGATTTATTCCAATATTACCATGTTTCTATTCCAGCCGAGGGCAGCAAGGAAAAAGTCCTTATTTTTAAAAATTCTAGTTAGGGCTTGAGTGAGAAAGAAATAACAGAGCCCCTTTCTTGTCATTCTGCTAAGCACAAGTTTTCTTCAATCGAGTGAGGCTGCGTTTGTCTTTTTCTCTGTAAGGACACCCAATTTAAGTTTAGTTCCAGATGGAAACTGGAGAAGGCAAGAGAATCACTGACAGGGTCTAAGGAAATAGGATTTTGGAGTGATTGTAAATAAAATGTAAATAAGGAATACCCGTGAACAGCGTGTAGGGAGCAGTGTTCTGGTCTCGAATAAACTCTTCAAACTATTTTGAAACTTAAAATAAATTGGAAAAACTAAACTAAAGTAGGAAAAGACAGACAGCAGAACTTGTTATTTCTCACGTACATTTTTTTTTTTTTTGGGTGGCTGGCCAGCACAGAGATCCAAACCCTTGACCTTAACCAACTGAGCTAACCAGCCAGCCTGTGTCCACAATGGAGT